CGTTCTAACTGCACTCAGGCTCAGGAGAGAGAGAGAGAGAGAGAGAGTTGTGTGTGCATGCATATGTGAACAAGTTTGGAAAGGGGTGTGCAGGAGGATCTGGGAGGAGCTGTAAAGGAAGAGTCGGGGTAGATATTATGAAAATATACTGTGCAAATGCATAAAATTTTCAAAGAATAGATAAAATTATTGTATTGCTTTTTACAAAAGAGTTGACTTTGAGGGATGTTTTCAAAGGGGCTTTGGCCCTTAGTTCTGGTGGGTTGTTTTTGTTTGGTTGTTGTTCCTTTTTGGGGTTTTGTTATTCTTTCCACTAATTCAGGTTTGAATTTCCATCTCCATCATTTCTACCTGGTGATATTATCCCAGTGATTGGATATTTCTCTGAACTTTTATTTAGAAAATGCCCTTGTGGCAAAGACAAACTGAATGTGGAGCTTGTCTAATGTGCTTCATTATTTTCTTAGTTTTTGAGACAGGGTCTCATAGCTCAGGCTGGTCCTGAACTCCCTTTCCTCCTATCTCCACTTTCTGAGCACTGTGATTACATATGTACACCATTACACCTGGCTCGAAATATTGTTTTCTTTTGTTTCTATGGTATGAGAGTTGAGGCCAGGGTCTTGTACATGCTAGGCAAGTGCCTTACCATAATGTGCCTAATTTCTTATATTTTTCCTTTTCCTAAATGATAATAGCCTTGCACTCATGCCTGTCCAAGATATTAACCAGCTTTTAGAATTGCCCGGGGGGATGGGGATGGGGAGTAAATACTAGTACAATCTGTCTACACATTCAGGTCCAGATCAATCATTTAACAAAAATATCTTTCACATCAAATTCCTTATATGTATTTTACTTCTCTGTATGTGTCCTGAAATAAATTTTTTATTATTCCCATTTTTATAGATCATGGCATTGATGCTAAGAAATTTTAAGAGAACTGCCAGGCAACAAACCAAGAACTGGAACTGAAATTACTTTGACCCCAGTTTCTATTATAACATTCTACTTACCTAGCTAATAAGTCAGTGTATAACTAATGTGTGAGAGTTACTAAAAATTGCCCAATATTTTGTATTAGTATTTTATGAGCTAAATTGTTCAGATAGAGTTGTTGGAGTTATCAGCTGAAGATGATAAGTGAATTTTATATGAGAATTTTCTCTACCCATAGATACTTAGTAATTGATAATAGTATTTAAAAAGCCTTTTGTGTAAGGTAGGCAAGTGCTCTTCCACTATCCTCCCAACCCTCCACAGATAATTTTGCTAGTGTACTTATATAGTGAAATGATCCAGATTCATTGAGGAAACTGAGACCACTGAATCAGTTCTTTCACTGAGTAAGGCTGTAGGTAATGTACAATCTACAAAACCTAATGTTTGCTTAGTATTTCAGAAAACATTTGCTTCCTATTGACAGAAATTTAATATGTGACCACGACAAAGATATACTCCTACTATGCTTTTAGAAATGGAACACTTTGCAAATGATGCATAGAAATTCTAAACCTGTCAAAATGTAGCCTGACTCTGCAAAGTTAGACCATATTCACAATTAGTTACACTAATAATCATTTTCTAATGCTCTATGTAAGTCAATTATAAACTACCAAGTGTTCTGAGTTTACCCCAGAGGGACAAGTTTCCAAAATGCATAACAAAAATTACATAAACAAGCAAAAATTTATGTAAAGTGTGTAAAAGTCTGTTTTCCTGTTTTGTACATCTCTTTCGTATCGATGAACACCATTTACAGATTATCTTCAAGGATGGTGAGTGCTCATGGAGATTCTTTGTTGGGATACTCCAATTATTTTACCCATTTCTTGGATTTAAATATGAAGACAGTCACACAGTGGAAGCATGCTGAGCCAATAAATATGAGGACATACCCATTCCATTCCTCTTCTCCACCCCTCCATTTTTTAGTCTTATTTTTCTTTTCTCCTAAATGAGTTCAGTGAGGTGAATGACAGCCCTGAAACTCTATCATTCTAGATGCCATGTGTTTAATAATGGACATGAAACAAATTTAATCGGACTATGATAGCAGGAAGGATATTAAGAGAATGACATATGGAAAGTATATGGGCCAGTGGGCATATGTGGTAATTTGGGGATAGTCATTAGTTACTTTTGGACCATAATGTGATGTTTTTCTTACTATAGGGCACAGGTTTACTCTATGTGAAACAAATTGGTCAAAATGTCAGTGACTCTGAGGTATAAATCTTAGGCCAAATTACGCACCTCTCTCCATGAGAGAAATGCCTTCAAAATGAGCAACACTAAAAAGATGTAGTTGGTCTGGTATCCAACTTCTTACATAAGGAATTCAATGGAAAGAGGAATATGGGAGGAACGCTTGGACAGAAATTTTGCAGTAACATCATGCCACTAACTGTAACTGGGCAAGTCAATGTAAGTTGAGCATTGTGACTATGGAACCCACATGCCAACACTAAGAGCCCATTTTTATACTCCCTCCTTTTGGTGAATTGTGGAGAATAGATTTTGAGACCAAATACACAACCAATACTCTTGCAGCAGGAAAGAGGAAACAAGAGTTTTCCATATCTTTTCTATTTAATTCCAAGTCAGACTCATTTCTATGAGAGTTGCATGTTTGACACCTGTTTTCCTATCTCTTACATGTTAATTAGCTACTTAAGATCTGAGTGTGGAACACAGAATCTGAGAGTCTGTATCCTTCTATAATACGAGATAATATGAGTCTTTTCTTACCACCAGAATTGGAGTTTTGCAGCTCTCATCTTCTTTTATCTTTATTTTCTCCATTCCTGACTTGATGGAGATGTATAACATTTGGATTCAGCAGTCCTTCTAAAGAAATGACTGGATATATATGCAGACATAGAAGTGCAGCCACAGACTGAGTCATGATGTGCCAAAACATTCAAAGGGAATCAAGCCAAATGTGAATGAAAAGGGCACCGAAGCAAGCAGTCATTCAAGGAAGACACCTGAAATGACCATAAATGCTGTTTTAATAGAGATATTCCTACCATGATTTGCTGCCAGGTTCAGCTGAAGTGCCTTTTATTCATGTCTGTTATATCTGGTAGGTCCCGAAAGGGCTAATTCATTGCAGTCTATTGGAATTTTAATGTCTACAGGTTACAATCTTTGGTCTTTTTTGTGGTAATTCTTCTCAGTGACCTGTGCAACTCTGAGGCAAAAAAAAAAAAAAATCTAGAAAAGGTCACTGAGAAAGAATGGGACAATGTGCTAAATATAAAAAAGTAAACGGTTTAATTTGGGTTACATTTTGTAGAAAGAGACTCTAGGGATAGTTTAAGTAGTAGCCTGGTTTAACAAATACTTAAATATAGAATGGAGAGGTTTTGTGCATGTCCTTTTATCCATATTTTTTTTAATGAAGAGGACTGACAGTGTTGGAAAAGGGGACAGAAGCTGTCTTGTTTACTGAGTAGTGAATCTCATCTTGCTTTTATACTCCTTTTCCCTCTGTTGAGAAATTGTAGCCCGCTCCTTTTTGAATGCTTTTTAAAAGCCTCCTGAACACTTTAACCAGTAGTCTTTATTTGCTGGTTTCCAGAACATTTAGATTCAGTGGTGTTATCAGAATGCTTTTGTGTGAACAAATATACCTGTTAAACTTACCCAGTGCAATCGATTGCCCATTCTGCAGTGAAGTGAAGAAAAAATTTAAATACTTATCTTTTTTTGGTTCAGGATCCTTGCCCAGGCAATCTACAGAAATGTCATTATGAAAAAAATCGCTCTTGAGTCAATTTACTAATTGGAATGAGGATCAATAGGTATAAGAAATGTCTGGGACAAAGTGCATTTGGTAGAAATGTGGTCTTGTTCAGCACTAAGATTTCTGTAGCCAGCACATGGGGTTTTCCCGTTGTCAGGTGGAAGACCTTGAAGGAGCCATTAGGGCCTCTTGATAGATGGTTTACTCCGTTTAACTCTTACAACCTCCACACCCCGCCTCCGGGAAACAGTCATGCGTTGCCTTGTCCCAATATGTAAGAATTTGCTAGGATCTACCTGTTATTCCTGTTATTAAGTTTTACAGGAATCTGCTTACTTTTCCTTTCATGGGCTCTACTTCCTAAACGGAGACGTTTTGAGATGGCTTGGTTTGCTTTTCCTACTTCCCCAAATGGTTTTTGGTGGGAAGCTGTTTCTCTTTCCACTTCCTCTAGGCCTATTCTGATGAGAGTAGGTGTAATATTTTGGGTGCTCAATGTGGGTTTGTAACCTGGGCCAACACCTGTGTCCGCGTCGTGCCGCTGTCCCGGGCCATGGTGCTGGATTCTGCGGTTTCTCGGCGGGAGCAGGAGGCATCCCCGCCAACTCCAGAGGAGGATCTAGCTCTCCCCTGGAAGACAAAACCACCACCAAGATCAGGCATCCTAGCTAGAGCCTCGGTGGACGCCAGAGGGTCGAGGACGAAGGCACCTCCCGAGCGCCCTCTGGCGAGGGCCGAGCGCATGCATCCCCCTCCCGGGCCCTCCGCCCGCTCGGCGCCCCCGCCCGGCGCTCCAGGTTCACTCTCGGTCTCACTCGTGAGACACAGACGGCAGCTTTCCGAGCGAACCCGCACCGGCTGAAGCGGCGCCACCGCAACTACCACCGCGCGCCAGGAGAAGCCCTGGGCTCGGGGAGAAAGGCGCAGCCCAGGAGCCCGGCTCCTAGCCCCGCTCGGCCTCCGAGCCGACCTGCAGCTCGGGTCCCCGCCTACCTCCTTCGCAGCCACTTGCGGGGTGTGCCCGGACTTGGGTCGGTAAGATCCCGGCGGGAGGCGGCGGCCCGAGCGAGGGTGCCGGGACTGGAGAGCCAGCGCTGAGCCGGACGCGGGGCCGGAGCCGGTGCCTCCCCGCCTCTCCGCTTCTCAGGCGGCGCCGCCTCCCGGGCTCGGGCTGCTCGGCCGGGTCCTCTGCGTGTTCCCGGGCCCGGAGCCCGCGCACGATGCGCCCGGCTGCGTTCTGATCGCCGCGCAGCCGCCTCCGCCGCGATGATCCCGCCCGAGCCTCCGCAGCAGCAGCTGCAGCCACCGCCTCCGGCCCCGCCGAACCATGTGGTGACCACCATCGAGAACCTGCCGGCCGAGGGCAGCGGCGGGAGCCTGTCCGCCTCTTCCCGGGCTGGGGTGCGCCAGAGGATCCGCAAAGTGCTGAACAGGTGAGCGGAGGAGCCGGGCAGAGACGCCGGGACTAGGGCTGCGGGCGCCGAGCCCGGAGTCCGCTCGCTCTATCGGATGTCCCCGAGGTCCTTTGGGACTGGGTTGGGGCGAGGGGACACCGAGGAGCCCCGGCGAGCTGGTGCCCGGTGCTCGCGGAGAGGCCGCGGCAGCTTTGTCCTGGAGCGGGGATCCCGGGAGTGGCAGGGTTGCGGGCTGGTCCGAGGAGCGAGTTCCCCGCGAGGCGCGGACCCACACCGCCCTGTGTGTGTGCTGGCACTCACGCCCTCGCGTGCGCGTGTCTTTTCACTTCCCTTATGCACTCGTACCCCAGCTTTACGCTCTAGGGACCCGGGAACACGGCCAGGGAGGAGGCGGGAAGGCGCGGGGCTGCGACGATGGCGTGGAAGTCACCGGTCAGGCGTTGTCTCTCGCCCCGCCCCGGTGGCACCCACCCCCTCCCCAGGGGGATAGGGTGGCCGTGAGGGTCCCCGGCGGACAGGAGGGGAAGCCACTTCCGACTGCCGCTCAGGTGCCCGCTCACACTCTATAGGGCTTGGAGCAGGGAAAGGGAGGCGAGGCCAGGACCAGACCCCTGCGAAGTGCAAAATATTGCCAGAAGGGTGTGAGAAGCAGGTGCCGGTTACTCTAAAGCCAGAGGATCGCGGAGCCTGGAGTGCTGGAATCTGCGTAGTGGGTTATCAAGGACGAGCGTGGTTTAGAATGAGGACCCGGTTGACGTGAAAATGGAATCTTCATGGTGCCCTGACTCGATATAAAAAGGACTTCTGCTACTTAACTAACTTAAAATGATGCATGAGCTACTAAAAAATAAAAATAAAAAAAATCATGTAGCCAGTGTGTAGTGTGTGTGTGTGTGTGTGTGTGTGTGTGTGTGTGTGTGTGTGCGCTTTTCAAGGTGTCTGCAAGTAACCCTTCTGGGTGCATATTTATATAGGTTTCTGTGTGGCACAGTTTTGGGTAGCAGAGATTCCTTGAAGCACTCCATGGAACTGTTTGGGACTTAAAGCTCAAAGGAGAGCTCAAAAATATGCACAGAAATAGCTTGAAATATAGTGACCAGGGGAATATGGCTGCACACTATTCAAGAATTTCTAGTGAACACGTATATAATAACTTACTCATGAATATTTCTGTATGGTTTCATTTATCACCAAAGAAGAAGAAATTCACTTTTAAGTGAGAGCTGTAAGTCAAGTTTTTCCTGTCATTTGTAGAGCTGAATAACACATTCCAAAAAAAGATGCACAGAATAAATCAGGAAGATGATGGCTAACTATGGGTTATATGGGTAGTATCCTGTTCTTTATGAAAAACTGTAGCTTTTAAATCGCCAATATTTTAAGCAGATTATATTCTTAATTATTTTTTAATCAAAGTAGAAAACATTGACGCAATAATTCATTTGTCATGTTATTATCGAGTCTGTAGTAGTTGTTCTAGATATATAATGAATCTTAGGGTCCGGAATGATCCAAGGTTTGAAGGGACTTGGCAGAACCTTTTGTCTTCTCAGGTCTTAGTTTCTTCACTTGGAGAATAAGAGGTTGCTTAGTAGTGGGGGCGGAAAGATTAGGCTGCCTCCCAGTGAGGTAGAGTGAAAGTGCTTAGAAGTGACTCTTGTTTGAACACTCATGGAGTGTGCTGGCTGTAAGGTAAGTCCATGGGGTCATTTCATAAGTATCTTTATTTATTGAGATCTCAAGATCCACTCACATTTTCCTTGCCTCCCTTTCCTTCTTCCTTCTTCCTAACACTTCTGTTCCTTTCCAAACATTGTCTCATTCACACACGGTTGTCAGCTGTTCTCTTTCATCTATCCCTGGTAGGCAGCAACTTAGCAAAAGAAAGCAGTTTCAAATCGGTAAGCCTCTAGCAATAATTTAAAAAACATTATCTGTCCAACTTTTGGCATTCATGTGAAGAGTTGGCGGGTTCTGTTGCTGCGAGCTGGTGGAGGAATCTCTTCATTGACTGACCAGGGAGCTGCTCCAGCCCTTTCTTTGGAGACATTGCAGAGGGACAGGCAGATGTAAATGGTACAGGAAATTGAGCTGGCTGTTCATATAGTTCTGAAGTTACTTAATACAAGGGATGATTTCTTATTGGGTTGTTATTTATTTACTCTAAAAGTATAATTTAGAATGCGAAAGTCTCCTCTCTAGGTTTTGATCTACTTTTCTTTTTTTTTTTTTTTTAATTCAAGCTGGTGAGCATTCACTGTACATTATTTAAACACATTAATTTTTGGTTATACTTCTAAGGAAGTATGACTAAGAAGTAAAGCTCCATTTGACATATGGACAAAAAAACCCAAATATGTTTTTTGATTACAGTGGCATGAACATATACAAGTATACATGTACTTATCCTTAAAGCAATTACTATGTACTGAGCCTTCTTTTGGAAGGCACATATGTGACAAATGTTATTCTTGGAGTTAAAGTCCTCAAACTTTCACTGGGGGACTTGCCATGTATATTGCTATTTAGAGTGAAATGTCCACAATGCCTAACTGGGTGCTTCCAAATGTCTAGATACTGGGACCAGGCAAATAAGTTGTTCAATATTATTCCAAGTTCCTTTCTGTTGTGATAGAATATTCTGGCCAAAAGTAACTTAGGGGAGAAAAGAACTTATTTGGTTTATGCTTCCAGGTCACAGCCCATCACTGAGGGAAGTCAGGGCCAGAACTGAAGCAGGAACTGGAGCAGAAACCTTGGAGGAATGCTGCTACTGCCTTGCTCTGTGGCTTATGTTCAGCTAGCTTTCTTATACAGACCAGGCCCAAATGGTGCCACCCACAGTGGGCTGGGCCTTCCGACATCAATCAGCAATCAAGACAATGCCCCATACACATGTCCACAGCCAGGTCTTATCTAGGAAATTCCTCAATCAAAGTTCCCTCTTACCAAGTGCTAGTTCCTGTCAATTTGACAATGAAAACTAACCAGGATGAATGTGCAGTTTGTATAAAACTTCTTGTCTGACATTTTGGACTAATGCAGGAACTATTTGAATGTACACCAGTTAAGAGGAGATATATAAATGAAGATAGTAAACATAAATATGATTTAGAAAATATTTTCTTATGAAAATGCCTCATCTCCATCATTGAATGTATGGGTATAATTTATTTGCATGCACTGCTATTTAAATTTTAAATTAATGTTTTCTGTTGAATTTAAGTCCTAAATTTTCTCTCAAAAATATTTACCAATGTATGATTATCAAAAATATCTTAAGTATCATTTTGCAAGTCTGACATTACAAGTCACCAATTCCTACTATATTCCATTGTAAACAGATTAATTAGGCAGACTCACTAGTACTCAATAAACTATTTATTTATTTATTTTTACATTTATTTATTTGTGTGTGGTAGATGAAGGAGTGGGTCATGCCATGGTGCATGTATGGAGGTCAGAGGACAATTTTTGGGAGTTGGTTCTCTCCTTTTACCATGTGGATCCTGGGGATGTAACTCAGTTTGTCAGGCTTGACGTCAAACACTATTCCCCACTGAGCCATCTTTCTGGCCCTTAACAGATTTTAAAAATCAAATCATGCTTATTATACACAGATTTAGAGGGACAGGGCTGTAATTTACAATCATCTTTGCTTCTGGGAAAGCACAAAGTATTCTTTTGAGTGAGTCTCCCTCCCTTATTCACTGATTCATTCATCCTGGGAGTGTTTTCTTCAATGAGTACTTATTTGGTTTCACTACACTTAGGGCTCTGAGAGAAGAGTAGTAGAGCAGATTCCACAGGCTGAAGTAGTCTCTGGGTGCCTTTGCAGAAGCTCCTATTATTAACCCTTTAGTACAATCTACCAGCGTGTCAATTTATGTAAAGTAGAAATACACATATGTTTACCTCTCAAAATTAGATTTTAAGGTGATCTAATAAAAAGTTCCCATAAGTCAGTTGTTTCCCCCCCTAGGAAAAGCTGCCCAAGAAGACCAAACCTACAAAATTACTTGAAATGTACACAGATTCAAACAGTAGATCTTTCTTGTTGAATACAGTTGTCTATTTCATTAAGAACTTAAAAACAAACAAAACAAGAAATCAAGAATCAGGCCAAGCATGGTGGTACAGGCCAGCACTAAGGAGGCAGAAGCAGGCAGATTTCTGTGAATTCTAGGCAAGTCTGATCTACATAGTATGTTCCAGACCAGTCAGAGCTACATAGTGAGACTCTCAAGAAAACAAAGCAAAAAACTCCCTGCAAAACCAAAAAGGACCAGTTATTAATGTTCATCTAACTTTAGAGTATTTGAAGAGAAAAAAAACAATCTGGACCCTATCTTAGCAAGGTCATTGCAATATAACAAGAAAATAGAGCTTTCTAGTAGGTGTAGTGGTACATGCGTGTAATCCTAGTACTCAGGAGGTGGAGGCAGAAGAATCCTAAGTTTGAGGCCAGCCTGGAATCCAGAATAAGTTTCAAGTCATCTTGCCTCTATAACTAGATATTGTCTCACCATCACCCTCCAAAATCCAAAACCAAAACAATAACAACTAGAGTTTTCTGAAAATACCAGTATGCTAACAGTGCATAGGTAACTCTGTTGGGGCTAGGCTTGTGTGTTGCACATAAGAGAGATTTGAAACATGACAAGACCATGAGGATCAGTAGGTTGAAGGACTGGATACTTCAGTATATAATATGATGTAACTGAATGAGAATATTTGAGTTAAAATGAATACTCAGTTCTTACATTTTATACTATAAAACATACATTTCATACTGTAGAACATTACAGTATATGCCATGCTCCTAATAGTGCAACTTTCTGTTGTCCTTTTCTAGATAGGGAAACAAATTGATGTGGTCACCTAGCTAAGTGCTCTGAAGACCACAAGGAGAGAGATAGTGCCAGGCTGGGAACAAAACAGGAGAGGCCAGGGATGCTATTTGCCCTTGGCAGAGTCTGTAGGTCAGAGGAGAGGGAAGGGACTGGCATTTGGAACCA